TGTTCAAGGCCGCCTAGCTCTCTTAAGTCTCCTTGGCCGAAATTTCTAGTTGTTCTTCTTGAGTTTTGAAGCTTGCCTTGCAAGCTTCTAAACTCAAGTAAGGTAAGCTTACCTTACCATGGTTCTTAAGTGAACCATGGTCAAGGTTAGCTTCCCTTGCAAGCTTGCTAAACCGTAGGGAGTTAAGTAAACCTTACCATGGTTCCTAGTGAACCATGGTTAAGGTTAGCTTCTCCTAGAAGCTACCTTTTCTCTATATATTTGATTTTCCTACTCTTGTACTCACTTTTGAACTTTTTAGAGAATGAAATCATATTTTTCTCTCTTAATCAAGAGTCTCCAAAACCGTGAGAAATTTTCTCTCTAGGTTTCTAGCAAAGTTCTTCAAACTTTGCTTGGTTCCTCAAGCTCCTTCACAAGTTTAAGGAGTGGCCGAATCTCCTTCAAAGACTTCTCTTCCTTTGGAGTTTCTTCAAAGGAGAATTCAGAGATCTAAAGGTGTCTACCTCAAGTGCATTTCGGTCCTAAGCATGGAGGAGTTGAAGTTCATCAATCTTCTTCAACTTAGCTCCATCACTTGGGTTTGACAAAATAAAAGATCCTATACCTCACGAGTGCTGCAAAAATAAAGGCCCGGCAGGAAACCCACTAAGGGGGTTGCGCAAAAGTTAGGGCAAGATTTGCTAGGCAACCCACAAGTAAAAATGGGTAACCTAGGCAAAAAAAAAGGATCAAAAGAAAAATGTCTGCTAGGAAACACATCCCAAGTGACCTAGGCAAAAGTTAGGACGTTAAAGCAGCAACCTGAGTTGAAAATTGAAAGGCGACTTAGAGGAATCATCCAATCAGAGTACGACCCCGAGTCATCACTTCTCTCACATTAATGCAAGTAAGGATGCCATCACATTCCTTCACAAGGAAGGAGCTTCATGGCTTATCCACCTGCAAACCAGGAGATCTGTCACAAAAAGCCTTCACCGTATAACATTTTGTCTATAAGGAAAAGACGTTACAAATACCCTTCCCCATACAACTTCACATTTCATGTTTTATTCTAGGGGGGATGATCTTTCTGTTTAGGAACTAGTTTAGTCTGCCATGTTTTTTGCAACAAGAATACTATATGACCTCTCCACCTCTCTCTCTATGCTCCTCAGATGATGTAAGACCCTTTCTCAACACTTCAATTCAAGCAGTTGTGTGTGACAAGCGAGATCGTATGATTAACAACCTCCTAAACATCTTGCACTAGTCTCTAAATAGACAAGAGGAGTACGAGCGACAATTCAACATGCTGCTCGATTGTCTTTAGAACCAGAGGCCACCTCCAGATGCTTAGATATTCCCCTTTTTGATGATGCCAAAAAGGGGAGAGTTAAATGGAAATTACAACTTTACAAACGTACATAAGGGGAGAGAGTTAAAGAGGAGGATGTAGCAAAATGAGACAGATGCAGGGAGCAAAGTAAGATAGATTCAAGGGGAGCTCAAATTTAAATTTCTGTATTATTTATTTTTGATTTATTTCTCTAACTTTATTCTTGCCTAAAATTTTTATACTATGTTTCTTGGTAAACAATTTCATTACTTTGGTTATACATGATTTTCCTTAATTCGTCTAAGCTAGTCTTCATACATGCTTTCAAGGGGAGTCCCCTATCCATCCATATATAGGATATTCATATTATGTTTTACAAGTTTAAAACTCGCTCTTAAAAAGTTTTAGACTAAAATTTTTTGGAAACAGACTACGCACAAAATTTTCTAGATAAATGAAATATAGCTTATTCTTTCTCAATTTCTAAGTCTATTGAAATCAATTTGATAATCATGATTTTCATTAAAAGATGCTTATTGATTGTGCAAACATCTTCTATCTGAATAATCTACAAAAATTGTTCAAGTCTTAAAAGATTTTTCTCAAATAGAACGTTTTTTCCTTTAAAGATGAAACTTTTAGTTTAACTAAACAAAGAGAAAGCATTTTTATAAAACAAAATGTGTTTGTCATCATCAACAAAGGGGAGATTGTACGATCAAAAGGAAGCCTAGAATGAGATAATCTAGAATCCCTTTAAGTTTTATAATTTTTTATGATAACAAAGAATTTTCTAAACAAATTAGAGTTTCATAAAACACCTTTCTATAAACAACAAACAAGAAGTCAAATTTTTTTCAAAAGAAAGCATTTTAGATGAAGCAGTGACATATTTCGTTTGTAAGACGAAGCACACTAGACGAAGCATATGATTTGATATCAATGCCATATTTATTCCTTGTTAAATTGTCAGACTATTCTTTGAATAAGCAATTAATATTTTATTCCTTAGAAAATGGAACAAGAAAACTTCTTTGTAGATAACAAAACCCTTCAAAAAGGGAATGTCAAATCATTGTGTCAAGATTAAAAAAGAAAATCCCAGATATCTCAAACAAGACACTGAAAAGGACTACTGTGCACTAGAAGAAAGAGATGATAAATAGCTACCTAGATCATATAGGCGATACATGCATCTCTGATCAACATTTAATGTTTGCATTAAATGCACCTACAATACCTTCTGAAGAACAACTAGGAAAACAGACGAAGAAACTCAAGGAAATTTGAACATTTAAATTTTGAACGTTGCTATAACGGACATCTTCCAAAAAGCTACTATATAAGGGTAAAATCCTCAATAAATACAACGACCCTAATAGAAAAAGAGAGTGGCGTGAACAAGAAAGATAAGCATGATGTGAACTATGAAGTAAGAGGAAGTATGAATAAAAAGAAGGAAAAAAAGCATCTCACATAGAGAAAACTCACGAAGTGAGAAATAAAAGGCTAAATTCCTATGAAGAAGATCTTCATAGAAAATCTCATATAAATTTCTTTGTAGATTGCTTGTACCAAATTTGTATAGTACAACGTCTAAAAGAGACGAAGCTATTTTTGTAACTCTTATCAATTGTATTTGTAAGGGTTGAGCTTGGAGAGGCTTGGTGAAAGAATACTTGGCTTAAGTCAGAAGTGACTTGTTAAAGAATACTTGTATCTTATTGAAGATAGTGGAACTCAATCTAGTTGGATTGAAAACTAGACGTAGCTTTTGGGTTAGAGATGAACAAGTATAAAAAACTTGTGTCATTTCATCAGTTTCTACTACTTTATCTTATTACCTTCCAATACTTCATGTATTTACATTTTTCACTACCTCATTGCAAAAGCGCAAAATTTTGATATACACTATTCAACCCCCTTCAAGTGTGTATCCTTCTCTCCAACAGAAAGCCTTAAAGAGAGGCTAACTAGCATCCATTTTAGTTTTGCCTAAACCTAGTAGACCCTTTGTAGTGTATTGTGATGCTTCTAAGATAGGTTAAGATGGAGTGTTAATGCAAGAGGAGAAGGTTGTAGCCTATATTTCTAGACAGTTGAAAATCCATTAGAGGAACTATCCTACAAATGATATTGAGTTAGCATCTGTAGTTTTAGATTTGAGGCATTTAATGATCATAAAAGCCTTAGGTATTTGTTCATTCAAAATAAGTTAAACATGAAGTAGAATAGGTGGTTATAATTTCTTAAGGATTATGATTTTGAGTTTAGTTATCACCTGGGTAAAGCTAATCTAGTGGTTGATACCTTGAATAAGAAATCCTTACATGTATCAATCTTAATTATTAGAGAGATGGATTTCATTACAAAATTTAGGGATATGAGCTTAGCGTGCAAAAATTACCCCTAGTAGTGTGAGACTAGCTACTTGAGAATAACTAGTGATCTGTTGGCTAAAATAAGGAAGGTTAAAAGGTTGACCAATTCTTGATGGCTAGAGTGGAAACTATAGAACAAGAAAAGGGTAGTGAGTTTAACATAGGAGTTGATGGAGTGCTAAGGTGGGTTTGTGTGCCTAGTGAACCCAAACTTAAGAAGTTAATCCCAGGGGAAGTACATAGGAGTAAGCTTAGTTTTCACTGATGTGTCATTTAGATGTATTAGGATTTTAGGAAGATGTTTTGGTGGCCTGAGATGAGAAAAAACATAGAAGAGTTTGTGTGTGCATGCTTAATATGTCAAAAAGCTAAGATAGAACATAAAAAGCATTCAAGTTTGTTACAACCTTTAAGTGTGCCTAAATAAAAGTAAGATAGTTTTTCATGAACTATGTGGTTAGGTTGCTTAAGACTATGATAGCATTGCCAAGTCACCTTAAAAAAAAACTAGATTCCCCTTAAATTTGTAATATAATGACTAACTTAGCTCATTTTTCTTAAAGACACAAATTAATTGAGTTAGAAATTATCATGCAATGTCATAAATGAGATTTTAATGGAATAAAACTAAAACACAAAATAATAAGTACATAATAGTAAAAGTGAAGAAATTCTAATAAAAAAATCATCAATTCAAAATTTGAATCCTTATGATAAAATTTTCATGATTCAACATAAAATATACATTGTATGTTAAAAAAAATCAACATCGTTATATTTGCACATGACCTTTTTGAATATGGTGTTTTTGACATTTATCTCCAACAACTAGACTTATTTGTTTCCCATTAGAAACCATCTATACCATCTAGCAGATTGTTTTTCTACACGATTGAGATTATTATTAAAATCAATATAAATAAGCCCCCAGTTGTCAGCAAAGCCTCGATGAAATTCAAAGGAATCAAATGCTGACCAGATGAAATATCCTTGGACATTAACACCAGCACTACAAATATAAACTAGATGTTAGAAAAATATATTATTGCAATGAGAACAAGTTATCATACTTCCTTTCATTGAGTATCAAAATTAGTCTAATAATGTATCATATATCTTAATAATAGTTACAACGTATGTATTCAAAAATTGTTAAAATGGTGGATTTTCTCAATTGCTAATTTTGTAGTTAATGTTTATATAAGAATTTTTTCATTAAATATATAAAAAAATCAAAAATTTTATATATTTTTATAATATTTACTATGAATGGATGTACGATTTTCTAATGTTTATTTGTTAGCACAATTTCATTCGCCAAGTACAAACGGTAAAAAATGTTACATAATTTTGGTAAAATTTATTATGAATTCATACAAGAATTTGTTATTATGATGATATACTTAATTTATAAAATTATATACGAGTACTATCTTTTACTTGTGTCCAAAAAGGGATCAAATTATATTTTTTATTTATTCATTTTGAAACAAAAAATGGATTAATAAATGTGATTACTTTTTATATTAAAATTATTTTTAACTTCCCAATAAATTCTATCATTATTTATCTCATATTTGTGATGATTTTGTAAAATATGCAAAAGAAAGCTAAATTGCATTATTGGTCCCTCTATTTTTTTCAATTCGCAATTTTAATCCCTTAATTTTAAAATAAAGACATGTAATCTCTCCATTTTTAAAATTATAGAATTTTGGTCGTATCGTTGATTTGATATCTAGTAATAGTTAAATTTTGATATTGTTTAGTAACATGTCACCACTTAAGTGACATTATGTTTAGTGAGGTGACATACAAAGATGAAAATTAAAAAAGAACATACAAAAAAATATTTGTTTGTATATATATTTTCTTGATTGATAAGTATTTATTTTGTTAATAAATCTTATTTATATTTTTTTTAAGTTTTTTCACATCTCTAAATGTCATTTTACTAAATGTCACATCATTTAAAGATGAATAAACGTTAAAAATTAATGATTAATATATGTCAATGTGATAGGAAGACCAAAATTCTATATTTTTAAAATTAGAGACACTAAGACCAAAATTGTGAGTTAATAAAAGTAAAAAAATCAAAAGAAAAATTTAACCTAAAATGTAAGTAAACATAAAAGTATATTAAAAATATTGGAACAAGTGTTGTTTTGAACTTTCAATTGAATAGAAAAAATAAATTCAATGTAGACAAATAAAAAAAATAGATTAATGACTTACTCAATTGCATATTTTGTATTGTTTAGATGTGCAGCAATATAATCCTTTCGATGTCTATCTTTCAATGGGTTCTTGATGACTCCTGAAGCAATACCTATAAAAAAGAAAGTTCCAAATAAGGGTAGATTAGTTAATCATTTTATAGAAAAAATGTGTATTTATTATAATGTTATAATGTGAAAAGAAAACCAAGATGGACATGTGCACCAACCATTTTCAGTGATATAAATCTTTGGTGTTTGGTACTTATTTGTAAGGAATATTAAGACATTATATAATCCTTCTGGATATACAAAGCTTTTAGTTGAATTTTCCTATAATATAAGAAAATTGAGAAAGTGTCAAACAATACATATGTATGTATGTATGTCTATACCTAACTAAATCCTTGATATAAAAAATGCATTCTTCTATCTAATATCTCACCAAGTAACCTAGTGATTCTCCATTTGCGTTTGATACTGCAATATAATAGGAATGGGCCAGAATTAATGAAGTGACCATATTGAATTTTTCTCTTATAATATATGCAATAATGATATGAATGTAGTTAAACCAAAGAAGTTACCTTCTCTTACTACTAAAGCATCAAAATTGTCAACACCCGCAATAGCTGATTTGTTTGGTTCGTGTCTAGCATAAAATGATCTATAATAATTTATTCCAATAAAGTCAATGCTTCCCCGGACTAAAGTTTTTTCCTCTTCAGTGAAAATAGGTAGCCTATCCTTCACTAGCTCTTTCATGCTATTAGGGTAATCTCCAAAAACCACTGGATCCAAAATCCTATTTTTGTTGAAAAGTAGCAAAAGAAAAATTGAGTTACATATGCATAGTGAAAATGAAAGAAAGGAACTAAGTTTCATGGTGTGGTGTTAATTGCACTAACCATCCCGTAAAGAAATCCATCATCCTTTTAGCAGCACTCTTATCCTCTTGGCTAAAACTATAAGGGACATAATTTTCAATCGAAATGACAAGTCCAATTTCTCCCCCTTGTGTTACCTTCACAATTTAATTAGCAAACAATTCATTTATTAATTTGAATGTGTGTTATTTATAAGAAGGTTTATTTTGACTCATTGTTGATAAAAAAAAATATTACATCTTTATAGAATAATGTATTAAGAAAAGAATTATAGGGTATGACAAATATAGAAATTAAAAACAATTAATTTTGTAAAATTTTCTACCCTACTCTTAGCATATAGGATTGTGCTTTTTTTTTTTAATACCAAAACCTAGTATAGAATTATAAACAATGTATATAAAAAATAAATTATACATCTTATGGACGTGACACACCGCACAAACATATATGCAATACATGTCAAAAAGAACTTTAAACCAATTTATTTTCGTTAACATTTTTGAGAAATTATTTTTAATAATTTACTTGTTTGGTATGAATGCTATATTTTTCGTATAAAGATAAAGTTTATCATTGTTTATCATTATTTGATGATCTTTTATAAATATTTTTTACCGTGATAATATTCAAAATTAAGCAACAAATATATTTTAAAACAACTCAAAATACTTACTTGGTATTTTTCTCTATATAACTTCACTGTTGTAGCATGGCAAAGGATAAAGTTATGCATCACCTCATAAGCTTCTCTACATTCTTTTGTAATTTGGCATGGTTCAGGCTCAGGATTATCATTGCCATGCATAAAATTAAATAATGCAGTGATTTCTGGTTCATTAATTGTAGTCCAATGCTTAACTCGATCTCCATAGGATTTGAATAAAAGTTCACTATAATCCTTGAAATAATCCCTAAAATTGATTGTTTTTTAAAAAAAATTAGAATAACATAAATGTATAATTAATTTTGATTTATCTTACTTCCAAATGAAATAAATTTCTAGAAAATAAATATTTAAACGAGGGTGTGTTTCAAATATTTCTCTAATAGTAATTATTAATTCCTTACACAATATTGGAATTTAGAAAGCCACCCAAGTCGAAAATAGATAATGGATAGTCAAAGTGCAAAATTGTCACAAAAGGTGTAATACCTACATTCAAATATATATCAAGTAAAGCACAAGTTTAAAAGATGTTCTCAAATTTAAACAAAATAAATAAATTTCACCACAAAACTTAATTAATGTAATAAGTATTCAATAATTCATACCATTTGCAATCAATTCATTGATCAAATTGTTGTAGAAGTCAATACCCTGTTGGTTTACACCTGCTTCTAGGGTTCCACCTATATGATGTTGAAAACGAAGATTAAGATAAGTAAATTGTTACTTCACATACTTATGTCTTGGAGTGGGCAAGATCCAACTTGTCCATTAATTAATTCTACTTGGTTTATTGTTAATTTGGACAGTTTCAAGTTTTAAAATTAGACTTTGTGTGGTTGTTAGAACAAATTTATGTTATGTTTCAGGTCTCTCAATCCTCTTCATATTTTTTTAAAAGTTAATTTTTTTTAAAAAGAATTGTTTATTAATAATAATCTTTTTTTAATAAATTATACTTTGTATAACATTATATTATATTTATAAAGAAATTATTTATTTTCAAATACATTGTAAAATATAACTAAATTTAAGTTTTATATCTCTTCTATTCTATAGTTTTACTATGCATAATGTTAATATTTTTATATTATCTTAAAATATCTTATTAACTCGATCCCATCTCATAAATTTTGGTTTTTAATTGAGTCAAGTTCAAGTTTAAGTTTATGTAAATAACTTGAACAAATTTTTGGACGAGATAAGGACAAGAATAATCCCTTGCTCACCCTTACTTATATCACTTTGGTGGATAACAGAAAACTTACCTGGAAGAATTCTACTCCAATTAATGGAGAATCTGTAAGAGTTTATTCCAAGTTTCTTTAAAACTGCCACATCATCCTGTATGATTATAAAAAAAAAATAACAAAACTAATATAGTTATGAATTTGTTTTGATGTATTGGCCTTGATTAAAGTTAATATTTGAATAAGAATAATAATAATAATAATAAAAATATTTTGTATTTCAACATGTTTGGATATTTTTCTCTTTTGCAAGTTGAAGCATTAAATAGAAAAGTAAACTTGATATTTTTTTCAAACTAAAGTTCAAAAGAAAAACATTTTTATAATATGGAAAATTTTTTCAAACATTAAAATTAAGATGTTTCTAGATGTTATATATAGACATAAATAGTTTTTTTTAAAAATAATTTCTCATATAAAAAGAAATTTTAAGTTAAAGCAATCACACTTTGTCAAACAAAAACTTACAAATCAAACATTGAATCACTTATAATATTCAATTTTTATATATAATGTTGATAATGATATGAAAAGTCAAGTTTTTTGTACATACCTTATATCGCTTATAATGTTCAATCGTTGAGAAAAACTTGTCAGCATCCATAATTGTTTGTCCTGAGTGTTGAGAAAGAAATCAATATTGATATTTAAACAAATAGATAGATGAAAATATTAAGTAAAATATTTTTTTGGCACTTTCTAACACAAGCATTTTTCTAATTAAGGTGTAAGATTAATTTCTTAAGTCATTGAATGGACCTTCCAAAGATCATCTTTTTCGATATTTGAACAATATGACTAGCTTACTTCACATACAACCATTTTCTCAATAATGTAAAAAAAACATTTATATTATTGAATGTTATTATAGCTATTAGTGTCTTTTTGGTTTATGTTGAGAAAAATTATGTGTCAAGACAACAACTGATATTTCTTGAAAGTAATGTTAGTTTTTTTTTTTTGTTGTGTTTATTTATAGTAGTGTTGATTTTTGGTTACACATGCATTCCCTTTGAAAAATTAAAATTTTCTATCTTATTTAAGTTAATAATCTCACTAATAAATTCTTTAGTAATATATCATGAAAATTTATTAAATTGTATATATCTATTAGTTACCATTATCATGTTCGACTATAGCATCCCATACACTTGGTCCTCTTCCTCCTTCTTTAGTTGATCCTTCTACCTTTATTCAATAATAAATAATAAGTTAAAAATAACATATTGAGAGAGATATTAATTTGCAAAGTCACATTAAGATATTAACTATTACTATTACAGTAAAAGAATATTATCTAGTCTAGTGACATTTTATTTGTACCTGTAAGGCAGATGTACCAACACCAAACAAAAAGTTAGATGGAAATGATTTTCGTACAACCACATGTGGAGAGGTCCCTACAATTGCACCATATGATACAAATTTTAACAAATAATAATAATAATAATAATAATGCTTAGTTGAATTTATTTTTAAACTTATCCTACATGTGTTTGAGCAATTAATGTATCAAGATTATACTATTTCAATAAATGATTATACAAATAATTGATTACTGTTAAAATCGATTATAATCAAAATAAAATTTTGTTTGTGTAAGTTTGTTAATAAACGATTTTAAGATATTTAATTTTATTTGGATACAACAACAAAAAATCAATTCATATGTAGTAAATCGGCTTAAAAGAAGAAAAAGAACTATTGAGAAATAATCATACACTTCAAATTTTTAGCTTCATAAAATCAAATTTTTAAAAAAAATTATAAATCTCAATTAGTTTTCAAAAAAAAAAAGATTTTTTTCACAAACATGTTTTTTTTTCCTAAAAAAACAATTGAAAAATGAAAAATAATATTTTCCAAACACACTAAAATGGTAAATTATATGCTAAATATTGAAAATCATACTTTACAAGCAACACAAACGAGAGTTGTATAATTATATTGAGATAAATAATAAATAATTACTAGTTTTAGACATTGTAAATGTTTTACATTCTTCTTAATCATTTTCTTCTTTTTTATTGATCATATCACTTTGTATTTGATAATTTGTCATTCTTTTCCATATCAATTGAATATATTTATGAGACAAAACCATAGTAGATGTTATAAAAGATACAAACATTATTTTCCAATAAAGCAAAGAAAATTTGAGTAAAAAAGTTACGTAATGGGCAAACCTCGACTCTCTACTGAGTAGCACAAAAGCGAAATAAAGAACAAATTAGCCAAAACTCTTTCATAATTTCTGAAAGAAGAAGAAACCTTCATTTTCCCTCGTTGAGAAAATAAAAGATGTTAAAATTAATGGAAGATCTCAATCAAGTTGGAAGACAAATCTCATATATATATATATATATATATATATATATATATGTGTGTGTGTGTGTGTGTGTGTTTGTGTGTGGGAAGAAGAAGCCAACCATGCTTAGGCTATCACAAGTCACAACCTATGTTGATGTTAGTTTCTATTTTTTGAATCTGAATTTTGTTATTACAACAAAATTCTTTGACTTTATTGTTTAAACTTAGTTGTACCTAACGTAATACAACTATTCAATCAAGCACATATAGAATAAGATTATGTTTAGTTTTGCACCATAAACTAACGAGTAAGAAAAAAAATTTATTTTAAGGGAAAAAGTTTGCCTTCTTTAAAATAAAATAGATATAAACAACTTATTGGAATAATTATTGTATTAAAAAAGATAACACCTTGCAAAGCAAATATGAAAATAAATACAAACAATATCTAACATCTTACAAGGTCAAATACATATCATTACATGTCAAAGAGACATTTGCTACAAGATTTCCTTTTACTTTCCCAAAAATTTGAAGTAAGAAAATCAGTTTTCTATGTTTGGTTTACTAATAAAAAAATATTATTTGTATAAAATATTGTTATTTGAGAATAGTTTTTACCTATGTTTTCCACAAAATTGTTCTCATGGGAGTAGGTGGGAATATAACTTTTTTCGAGTTAAATTTAAAGTTTTACTTCGACAAAATATCATGTTACCCTTATTTTCCTATTTAATGTAGTAAAAATCATTGATTTCAATGTAACATATATGAATATTCTCATGAATATTTATGACCAACAAAACACATTTTAATCATTCTTAACTATGAATATCATAATTCTCAAGAAACATGATTTTTGACAATGACGAAACTTGAAAATTTTAAGTAGTGGGACAATAATTATATATATATATACATACATATATATA